GGTGGGGTTTGAGTGTGTGTGGATGTGTGGGGGTGGCGCATGTTACTAAAGAACTCCGCAGCAGTGTTGAACTTCTTTGTTAGTCCGCAAAACACAAGGTAAGAAGCCCTAAAAATTTTAAACCCAAGTACTCATCCCCCTTGATTAGTAGGTTTGGTTTTTTCTCTATTTTTTTTTTTTTTTTTAATGAACATGTCCCCTGCTAAGTTAGTCAAATGAAACATTATTCTGTACTCGAATTAGAGCTCTTTCTTATATCAGGCTCACGGAAAAGTTTCAAATATCTGAAGCGCTTATCAACCTTTTCTATGTTTTGTTCTTTATTAAAAGGAAGAGCACGATAATTGATTACCAAAGTAAATGGATTAAAAATTTTGGCCTCGTTTATTTCACCGATTCGAGTTTTTAATTCTAGTTTTGCTACAGTTAAAAGCTCACAAAAAGTCACATTTAACCTTTTCAACTACAGTAAAAAACTCACATAAAATCCCATCTCAGCTCGAATTGAAAACTTGAATCAGCGAACTGAACAAGGCCGAATTCATGAGTGATAATGCACTATTATAGATATTAAATAGTTAAAGATAACGGTCTTTACAATCTACTAGAGCATAAAAAGTACCTCTCTTAGACGGTTCAAATTGTCACCATCTTCACCATAAATAGAGCCAAAAGCATGTCTTGAAACTACTATCTCTACAATTGTATTCGTCACTATTGCAAGTTTGTTTCCGCTGCAAAAAGATGTAAGGAATAGGAATTAGATATTATTAATTGAATATGTGCTTCATAAAACTTCAAAATCTTCATTTCCATTACAAATGATTAAACTAATCAAGCATTGATATTTAAAATAGAATTTTGGGAAGTGGGGCCACACATGCAATGAAATTGGGATACAATGTCACTCTGCCAGGGATACAATACATGTGAACAGATACTATTATGTACACGAAAATATCATATTTAAACACACATGCACATGGATCGATGCTCACAAGATCACATGCACATGGATCGATGCTCACAAAAAACAAAGAAGATCTTGAATGCAAATGCTTCTCCCTTTTCAAAACAATTGTTATTAGACAAACAATCAAACCCCAGTTGAATTCTTGAGTGTTGTCGTTTGAACATGATATGTCTTAAGCTCTTTGTGAGAAATTGAGAAAGAACTAGAATATTTCTCCTTGAATAATGAATAACGAAAATAAGTTTAAATAGGAGGAGATGCCCTAATCGATTCCTCAAAACAAGGAACTGATAAACTAAAACAATATCTCTAATCCTAGTAAAGATAATAAACAGAAAAAATAAATGAGAGGATCAGGTAAGACATTATCCGAATCTCTTTATAACTTAACCCTAGTAATTTAAACACCAAATTTCCACACTCCCCCTCAAGCTAGGTTGTAGATGTTAAGTAATCCTAGCTTGGAGACAAGGTCTTCAAACGTCTTCCTAGGCAAGGCTTTAGTAAGGATGTCTGCAGTTTGCTGACTTGTAGGGACATGATGGAGTGATATGGTGTTGTTCTCAAGCTTTTCTTTAACGAAGTGTCGATCGATTTCCACATGCTTGATTCTATCGTAGTGTACTGGATTCTTGGCTATACTGACAGCTGATTGATTATCACATAACACCTTCATAGTTCCTGGAATAGGGATTCCCAGCTCGTAAAGTACTCGTTTCAACCAAATTCCCTCACAAATTCCGTGTGCAAGAGCTCTAAATTCTGCCTCTACTGAGCTTCAGGACACCACCTGCTGTTTTTTGCTTCTCCAAGTAACTAAATTACCCCAAACATAAGTACAATATCCCGAGGTTGATCTTCGATCAGTTACGGACCCTGCCCAATCTGCATCAGTAAATATTCTAACTTCCCTGTTTGCTGTTTTCTAGAAGTACAGACCCTGTCCTGGTGTCATTTTCAAGTATCTCAAAATCTTATACACCGCTTCCATATGTTCTTCTATTGGACTACTCATGAACTGACTTACCATACTTACAGCAAAACTGATGTCTAGTCTGGTATGGGACAGATAAATAAGTTTTCCGACTAACCTTTGATATCTTCCTTTGTCAACGGACGCACTATCATCTTTGCTTCCCAATTTTGCCGTAGGGTCCATAGGGGTGTCAGCAGGCTTACACCCTAGCATTCCTGTTTCTTTCAAGAGATCTAGTACATACTTCCATTGAGAAACCGCAATACCTCTCTTGGATTGAGCTACTTCCATTCCTAGGAAATATTTTAGATTGCCCAAATCTTTGATCTCAAACTCCTTAGCTAGAAAGCTTTTGAGTTTTAGAATTTCTTCATCATGATCCCCAGTTAGGATGATGTCATCGACATACACGATAAGTATTGCCTTCTTCTTTGATGGTGATTGCTTAATAAACATGGTGTGATCCGTTTGGCACTGATTGTACCCAACCTTCTTTACTGCCTTAGTAAACCTATCGAACCATGCTCTTGGTGACTACTTAAGTCCATATAAGGACTTCTTGAGTTTACATACCTTATTGGTATTAGTCGGAGTTTCAAGTCCAGGAGGAATTTCCATGTACACTTCTTTCCCGTTGAGGAATGCATTCTTCACATTCAGTTGATAGAGAGGCCAGTCAAGGTTAGATGCCAGTGAGAGTAGTACTCGAATAGTGTTAAGTTTAGCTACTGGTGCAAATGTCTCTTGGTAATCAATTCCATAAGATTGTGTGAAACCCTTAGCAACCAGGCGAGCTTTATATCTGTTGACACTCCCATCTGAATTATACTTGATAGTGAATATCCACTTACATCCTACAGGACGTTTCCTGATGGTAATTCAGACATCACCCACGTTCCATTCTTCTCTAGGGCTCGGATTTCTTCCAAAATTGCCTCTTTCCATTGTGGTATAAGAAGAGCCTCATGTATAGAATTAGGAACCTGTATTCTGTCTAGTTTGCTAACAAAGGCAAGGCACGGTGATTGAAGGACAATTTTCCATATGAAATAAAATTATAAATGGGGTGATTAGTACATAACTGTGTGCCTTTCCTCAAGGCTATGGGTCTATCATCAATATCTTCATCAAGCTAATTATTAGGAGCAGTTTCAAGACTAGTGTTACTTGGTGGGTTTTGCGATTCCAAACCCGGGTTGGATTCATGGCCGTGATGAGTTGGCTGCAGTGCTTTATCTTCTTGAGTCTTATTCCTCCTAGTATAGACACGTAACTCTTTAGTTTCTGCAGGCTGAGTTGGAGTGGAACTATGAGGGGCTTGAGTGTCATACTCGGGCTGGACTGGATTTGGAGTTTGAGTGTCAAACTCGATTTGTGTTTGGGATGCTTGGGATGATTCGAGTGGATTTGGGATATAGCCATCAGGTGACTCTAATGCATCAATATCCCAAAGCTGGTATTCTTGAGTAAAATTCTCCCCCTGAATATCAGTTTTGGGATAGAAGGGTTGAGTTTCAAAGAAAGAGACATCCATGGACTTGTAGAATTTTCGAGTAGTCGGAGAATAACATTTATCCCTTTTTGGTGTGACGAATATCCTAAAAATATGCATTTGAGAGCCTTAGGATCAAGGTTGCTTCGGTGTTGGGCATGAATATGGACAAACACTGAGCAACCGAATACTTTAGGAGGCAGAGTGATTAGGACACGCGTATTGGGAAAAAATTGAAGGACACGCTGTAGTGTTTGAAACTTCAAGACTCGGGAAGGCATTCTATTTACTAGGTAAGTGGCTGTTAAAACAGCCTCTCCACAGAAATATTTTGGGACATGGGTAGTGAACATGAGAGACCGGGCAACCTCTAGAATGTGTCTATTTTTCCTTTCTGCCACCCCGTTCTGTTGGGGTGTGTCAACATAAGAACTTTGGTGAATAATGCCCTGGCTCCCAAGATATTCTCCTAGAGTTGTCTCAAAATATTCTTTCGATATATAAAATATTTGGATGACCTAAACGATAGTGCCATAACATGATTGCACTATCTTTATTGGTGTTTCCAACAGATACTAAGCCTACGGTATGAGTTTGTCTTCTAGGAGGTCTATCAACTTTGAGAAGATAAAGTCCCGAATTTACCCTAGCACTGCCAATCATCTTTCCTGAATCCAAAACCTGAAATTCACACAAATCCGAGGAGAATTTAGCAACACAATTAATTTCTTGAGAGAATTTACTCACTGATAAAAGATTGCAGTCCAGATTAGGAACATGAAGTACTGTCTTCAACTCTAGGGTTTCTGAGAGAATAATAGACCCTGTCCCAGCCACTTTAGCGAGTGATTCATCAGCAATTTTTATTGTAAGATTATCTTGACATGGTCTGTAATGATGAAACATAGTTCTGTCTCCTGTTATGTGATCAGATGCCCCAGAGTCTACTATCCATGTGTCCTTATTTTCGGAATCAACAAAAAGAGCACTCAAGTAATTACCTTTTTGTGCCAAAGCTCCGTTTCCAATGTTACCTTGAGCAGTTGCTGCTTGTAAGAACATCTTTTATAGGGTTTCAAGATGTTCCTTGTTGAAAGGATTGGATTCCGAGGAAGTAGAATTTTCTTCTTCAACTGCAACATGATTTCCGTGGCTATCTTTGTCCGTAGCTGGTCTTGAAGGTTTCCAATCTGCAGGTTTGCCATGTAGCTTCCAGCATGTCTCACGGACGTGTCCTGTTTTTCGGCAATGATCGCACCATGGTCTCCCCTTCTTCTGCCGATTGTCGTAGCTGGTGTTCTGGGCTCCTCGAACAGCTAGGGCAGATGAGTTATCCGTGATCGAACCACTGATGGATGATTCCCCGAGCATCACCTTTTTCCTGCTTTCCTCTCTGCGCACTTCAGAAAAAACTTCTCGGATGCTTGGTAGGGGTTTTGTCCCTAATATTCTTCCTCGAACTTCATCCAAGTTCTTGTTGAGTCCTATCAAGAACTTGAATATTCTCTTCTTTTCCACGATTTCTCTGAATCTTTTTGCACACCCGAACAGTCCCACTTGAGTCCTCAAATACGTCTAATTGTTGCCAATTACGGGTGAGGATATTGTAGAATTGGGTGGCAGAATGATCTCCTTGTCAAAGGTCATGGATTGTAGTTTCGATCTCAAAAATTACTGAGGTATTTTCCTTACTCGAGTAAAATTCTTTAGCCGCATCCCATATTTCATGTGCAGTGCTATAGAGCAAAAAATTCTCACCTATTTCGTTGGTCATTGAATTTATTAACCATGACATGACCATGTTGTTCTCTGTTTTCCAGAGTCTGAATGTGGGATCCCCTTCCTTTGGAGGGATGATCTCGCCTGTGAGATATTCGTCCTTCCCTTTTCCGCATATTTACATCATAACGGACTGCGACCATTAAAGATAATTGTTCTCATTCAGTTTGTGCCCTATAATGGGAAGATGAACGCTTTCTGCAACGCCATAGGTGCTAGGGTTCGAGACTCCAGAGCCTGAAGTGACTTCAGATGATGACTCCTTCTGCCTCTTGGTGGCCATTCCGTATTTGGTCATCAGAGAGGGATTTTTGGAAGGCTCTGATACCATGTGAGAAATTGATAAAGAACTAGAATATTTCTCCTTGAATAATGAATAACGAAAATAAGTTTAAATAGGAGGGGATGCCCTAATCAATTCCTCAAAACAAGGAACTGATAAACTAAAACAATATCTCTAATCCTAGTAAAGATAATAAACAGAAAAAATAAATGAGAGGATCAGGTAAGACAT